CACGCGCCAAAATCTTCTTCAATCTTTTACACACGTATGCGGGAAACCAACTTTTTCCTTATACAAACTATCCTTTATTCCCAATTGATACGATTTTTGAATTCCCCCTTTTCTCCTATTTTTCTTTTTTGTTTGAGAATTATTTCATATAAATACCGAAAGTACACACTGGTGCGATCAGCATGAATCCCGTAAAAGGGGAAGCTTTGCTGGGCGGCACTTTTGAGGTTAACTCCCTCACCCACGCGAGAACCGCACGGATTCGCTCGTTCGGTCAATAATGTTACACGCAGGAATATAAATGTGCGCGAACTTTCTTCCCGTACATCCCGCTCCGATGATGTTTAACAATAGTAATAAAGTATGAGAGGAAATAAGCGGCACACGGCGGTAGATAAAGTTGTGAAAGATAACAAACGTTTTACTCCCTGAAACTGCCCGCGGAGTGAACGGAGTTTATAGAAGCATTCGAAAATATGGTGCACTCTCGGAAGCAAACACGCTCATTTCGAAAATATCCTCGCTGACGGATGAAAATAAGAGAACATTCCCGGAGAAAACTATTCTTTCGCGCGCGGGATTGTATTTCTCCGCGCTCGAATCAAAGCACGATCGGAAGAGACGACGCGAATACGCGTCTTTAGGAAGCGCAAGAACCTGCGAGCATTAAAAAGCACAAAAGAGAGAAAGGATAACAGCGGCTCAAGGTCCCTAAGTATAAGAATCTCGGCGTCGCGAGAGGGAGAGAACCGCGAGATTCTTCAGCGGGAAAATAAATCATGTCATCGACGTACTCAACACTCCGGTATTTTTCCAATAAGAGCGAACGTAGGTTTAGAGCGACGCATTCGAGGTAGCTGTGCGTCACGGAAGTAAAGTATCTGCGAGAAGATTGTGAGAGAAAGAAGACGGACGAGAGAAAGAAAGAGAGAGAGACAGTGTATCTCGGATATGTCTGCATTCCGGCGCACGTTCACCACGATTTGTTCTATCTCGACTTGTTCCTCTCTCGCCTCGAAGAATTCTCACGTATCCTTCCGCCTTGCCGCGGCATGGCGCAATCGTGTGGAAAAGCGGTGGTCCGGCAACGGAAGGCAAATATTCAGTCGAGAGAATCTGTCTCATCGGAAACAACCGGTTTTTACAACGCAAAAATGTCTACAGCTGTACGTGTGTAGCGTGGTTTTCCAGCTGAGCGCGCGGAAACGTTTCCGTGCACGACTTCTGCGAAAAGTCCTCGGTCGGAGTAACCTCGCGAAGCTGATTACGCTACGTCACGTATTTTGACCAATTTCTTGCACTTTTGTCATGAAGGGTTATTCTTTAGTAAATCAGGTCCGCTGAATATGAATGTGACCTTAGAAATTGTTCATCACGTTAGGTTTCCGAGAAAAATAGGGATTTAAACTCCCAAAAACGTGTTTTTGCATATTTTTATAAATTATAACGCATAAACCAGATAGTCAACATATTGTTTACACTCAACAAATTTCTAGATAAATTACTGTTGGTGACAGACTCAGGAAATAATAAGATTGTAGAAAGAAAATACCTTATTTATACATGTCAGATATATCATCCTTGAAGAGAGTTGAAATTGCACAACTTAGAACTAAAAAATCCTGCAGAATGAAATTCTGCCTACATTTTTGTTACAAAGAGATACAATGGGTCTTAATTGCCCTAAAGAAGTTTTTGTGGTTGCTGATTATAAATCTCCAGAAATTTGTTGGATATAAGATATAATTTTGCTATCTTGTTGCATAAATTTATGACATTGTTTCATCCCCCTGCGAAAGTGGCTTCTACGAAGTTGCACTTTGAGTTTCCGACTCTTGAAAATGAAGACGAAGGTTCAATTTCAGATCATTTCAAAGTTGCTGGCGCGTTTGGTTCATGCGTTGCGTGAAAATGGCCAAAAAGTATTTCTTGAGGATTTAAACTCCTGTTTTCTCGGAAACCTCACGTGATAAACAGTCTTCGTGTTCATATTTATATTCAGTACCCGCGATTTACTGAAGAACGATCTTTCATGGCAAAAGTGTAAAATCTTGTAACATAGTGTTATTAACGTTTGACAAGATCCAGTCGAAATATTCACGGGACAAAAGAGAAAACACGACACGACAAGCAGAACACCTCTCGTCGCCTGCGTCGATGCGTGCTGTTAGTCATGCAAATGTCTTTAGCAAATTTATACAAATTTTGTAATAACGGCGAATGGATGCAAATGAAGGCTCAACGAGATTTGAAATTAACTAGCTCGCTCTCCGCTGCCTTCTGCGGATCGCGAGATGTCCAGCGGGCTCCGCCCTTTGAGTTCTTGGAGGGATAAGGAGGTACCGTGTGGTGACTTTAAAAGCACTCGCAAGACTCTTTTGTATCTCTTCGTTTACATATCAAACAACTCCCTCCGAATTTGTGAACTTAAAAAAATAAGGTCCGCGCGATATTAGCGATCGATCTTGTCATGAACTTCCCGCGTTTCTTTCTGATACACTAAATTAGGCAGAATAGCACTTGAAACGCGTGTTTCCAGCAATGGTGTGTACAGACGGCGTCATAGATGTCTTATCTGTTAGATCGGGAGTTACCAGACATTCTGGAGCAGACACATTCGTTTCTAGAGATGCGTGTACTATAACTACAGATTATCCGAGGACACGGCAAGGATGTTCCAACGGGTGAATCTCTGACAGCTCGGACAGCTCTTATGCTCGTCTGCTAAATACACATGTTATTATTATTATTATGATATATAACTATATTCACCTCGCATGGAATACAGGAACATATCAGCACGGCAAACTAACCTCAGGACAATGTTACAAAAGGAGATAACGCTCAGCTACAAATTAGGAAATCTCCTAAATCCAATAATTCTTGACGAAATTGAGGAAGCCTTTTCAAATGATGCAGAATCTCGAGACAAGTCGGACGAAATGGATATTTCAATTTCACCAAAAATTAGAGTTAGGAGATTTTCTAATTAGGCGAGTGATAAGAGACTATCAGAGATCCGTCCGTTGAAACATCGTTGCCGTTTTCTTTGATAATTTGTAGTCACGGTATACGCATTTCTAGAAACGAATGTGTCTGTTCCAGAATATCTAGTAACTCTCGATCTAACAAATGTTTTTAACAAATGATCTAACACGATATCCATGACGCCGTCTGTATTACTACAGTTTCAGTCGATAGAAAAAGAAATAGATTCTATTTATTACTCCCACTTTAATGGCGTTGTCCGCCAATGCTGTACGCACTTGATCTGCGCAACGTATCGTATATCCAATTTTTATAAAATTTACACGTCTCCCTCCGCCTCCATTTTCAAAACGCAAAGATCCCCAGTCGTTTGCGGCAAAACTAATTGCGCGTTGTCGAATGTGAGTCACTACCGGCATGTGAGTCACTTTACTCGCTTTTCCGACCAGTTAGTCGCAGTGCGCGCGCGTACACACGTACAATTCTTTTTTTTTTTTTTATTTTTTTGTAACGTGAAAGTCAGAACTGGTTTTTTGATATCTCAAATTCCCTCGGAAGTTTCCGCCCATCACGCATTTCGCGTCGTGGATTGCGTGCATCGCTCGTGTCTGAAAACTCTCAGGCCAACTCATCCGTCCCGTGAATTCGCTCGATGTTGCGAGCTGTTGCGAAACAGTTGTTCGTACGCACCGCGGCTACACTTTTCCCGAAACGCGATTTTCTGTCTTTAAACCGACCGATTTTTCCATTCCGATTCACTCGCCGTTGCGACACACGAGATTATGAGAATGCGGGATAGCGTGGGCACCAATATCCGCGACAGGAAATATATCCGTTGCAAGCGACGAGAAGTTCGTTCGAGATATCCCCTCTCTAAATATAAACTGGCTATCACTTGGCCAATGTTTCTTCCGGTGAATATAGACATTGCGTAGCACTCAACCTAGTTCGACCAAGTTTTCGCTGATTAGCTCAGGGCTTATGTCCAAATTGTGAATCTATGGTAGCCACCCTGCTGAAGGTGGCTCACGTCCAAAAATGCCGCGAATCGGAGCAAAGTGTCCCCGTCACGGTCTCCTCCAGTTCGCAGTGCGTACCACGGGACTTCATACTCCGTTTAAGGGAGATAAGTCGAGCGTTATTTACAGGCCGTGCGCGAGAGAAACGTCCGAGACGCCTGCGATCCGCCGCGACGACGAGTCTGGAAGAAGTGCGGTCGCCGCGCTCACCTCTGAACGATGGTGAACTGTTGGCACGAGCGCCGCGGATGCAACGAATCGCAGTAGTAATATCGACGAGTGCATCGCCGAACGAACGCAATAGAAACAATTCCGACGTGATCCAATCAAGCTGAACTCGCTTGTAATGATGTCGTTCTTGCCTGTCTTAGAGCAACTGTAAACGACCGCCCGTTCGCCCAAGAACACAAGTACTCCGCGTCCTGTTCCGGATCAGCGGATCTCGGAACTTCATGAAGCAACGAACGAGGCAACCGGCGAAGACGTAGTAGGTCGAAGGCACCAACGACTCCTTTAACGACTGCAGGCCCAACTTAGTGGGAACTTAACCGTTTTACGTCTCTCCCTCTTGGCGCGATACGAAGGAGCGGACATTATCCCACCCTCCCCTGCTCCGTCCCGACGTCACTCGGTAATCTAAACTGTGGCTGATAGAACCACACAGAGTTTTGAGACCTTCGACAAAGACCTCTTTCTCTGTCTCTCTCTCTCTTTTTCTTTGTCGCGCTCTCTCTCACTCTCTTCAGCTTCTCTTCTTGTATATAGAATGTTATTCAAAGTACCCATCGTCCAAAACTGGCGTGGGACACGTTCCTCCCACGGCCGCCCTCTACTTTCGTAAGAACGACGAAACAGCGGCGGGAGGATTCACCACGAACGATCGTTTCCTTCCCCCTCCACCCTATGAAGTTCGAAAATCGCTAGATCGAGTCACTCGGGGAGGAAGCAACTCACCCCCTTTCGAACTTAGAGCACTGCGTGCACGAAACTTACCCCCCACTATCAGCAGCAGGTGAAGCAAAGCACATTGCATTTTTCCGTACTCCAGGCGGAAGTCTTTATCCATTTTCGTCGCGGGGAAAATCCCGTGCGTCACTGAATGTGTGTACCGCGCGCGCGAGAGAGTCACGTTTCTTCCCCCTACATGAATACCACCGCGCCGTCGAGTTACCGGTACCGCGGCGCTTCCGTTTCCGCGCGGCTACTCATCCAAACTCTACTAGCGCGAGCCGAAACGTGTCGCGCCGCGGGCTGACATCGGGGGTGTCGCGCGCTGACACGTGAAACTCGCGCGAAATCCCGCAATCCTCACTTGCGACCACCGTTTCACCGGGTCTGTTCGACACGGTCCTCGATCCGTCGATCCGTCGATCGTCGCGCTGAAAATCGGCAAGACTGGCGGGCCGTGCGACACGGACGGGCGCCACGCGGCCGCGATAGTTCCTGACTTGCAACTGACGAGGGATGCTGCACGAAGAGTTTGCGCCAGCTTCGCGCCCGCGCACAGAATCCTTATTCCCCTTCGCCCCCTGACCATCCACCAGTCAGTTAGTCAGTCTCTCTCTCACTCTCTCTCTCTCTCCCCTCCTCTCTCTCTCTCTCTCTGTTCGCGTACCTCCATCTCCGTTCATCTCGCGGTTCTTCCACCCCAGCTCTCACTCGTATCCTGTGACCCTCCCTCCCCCCTCGTCCTATCTCACCGTCTTCCTTCTCTTTCGGCGGTATCAAACCCTCCCCCGCGCGCCCACCTCCTCCCCGTCCCTCTCTTACCCTCTTATTCCCGCCCCGCACTCACACGAGAACTTCTTTCTCTTTTATGCAGCTGCCCCCTCCCCCCTCCCTCGTTCTCCCCTCCCCCTCTTCCCACACACCCACCTCCTATCGTTGTAGTTGTCTTCTGACTCACTCCCTATTACAGTTTTTCCATCGCTCGCCCTCGTCCTTCCCGCGGCGTGTCGTGTCTCTTCTTTCTCCTCTTCGCGCGCAGCCACGATCGCGCTTCCATCCATCCTCCGGATTTCTCTCTATCCCACCTATTCTCCCCCTCTCTCTCTTTCTCTCCCTCTCTCTCTCTCTCTCTCTCTCTCTCTTCCGTCACTTCGGTCGCCCCGTTTATCCGTCTCTTCCATTCCTCCCCGCCGCGACCATTCCCACCATCTCCGCCACATATCTAACCTCACGCGCATCCTTTCGGCGGCTGTATCTCAAACACTAAAGAGTTTCTTAGGAAATTGAATTGAATGCTACCTACCCACCAACCCACCTACCTACCACCTACCAACCTACCTACCTACCTATCTACCTACCTACTTACCTACCTACCTGTCTATCTATCTATCTATCTATACCTACCAACCTACCTATTTACCCCCCCCGTTTCTGTCTCTTCGACAGCCTCCTTCGCAGGAGGGACGGCTCGCTCAGAAGCGCGCTCTGTCTTTTCCGCCGTTCCCGCGCTCGATCTTGTCCCGTTACTTTTGGGGGTTATTCCGTCTCCCATCAACCCTTCTCGCCGTTTGCTTTCTCCATCTACATCTCTTCTTTGTCCTTCGGTGTTACTAGCTCGTTTACTCTCCCTCTCGGCGTCGTCCGTCTTCGTCTCCGTCGTCACCCTCCTTCCTGAGAGTTCCCACGAAACTGATTGTCTCGCCGTTAAGCGGCAATTTATATGTTAACAGGCCCGAATCGGTCGAGAGTCATGCATACGTTTAAAGGAACGGGATTTCGTGGGAGAGGCTCGCATAACGACGAAGGTGACGGTACAGATGATGACGATATACTCCGCGCGACCGCAAAGAGCCCGACCACTACTTTATTCGCTAGTCGGGAAAAATTGAGTCTTTGCATAACGCGATCCAGCTCTATCTCTTTGTCCTTCTCTCTCTCTCTCTCTCTCTCTCTCTCTCTCTCTCTCTCTCTCTCTCTCTCT